TATGCCAGACTCTTGATTTGGTTGGTGTTGACGTATCCCAGGACACACTGAAGACGAGAATTCTCCCAAGATTTTTCTTATTAACCTCATCATTTCTATGGATCAATTTGCAGTAACAATTACCCTAGATCAATTTTAACTTCACCAGTCGAAGGAAAATCGTTGACGTTGTTAGTCAGTCATTTTCAGACCAGACCGACGAAGTCTCGGATGATTTTTCTTTACCATTGGGCGGTGTCGGCGGTTTTTAGTAGGACCCATCTCGACAGACTTGTGTTGAACTCCAGTTTATTTTAGAAAATATTTTAAAATTATTTAGTCTTTCATGTATCAGTTATTACGAGGACTGGCATTTTGTCATGCGAATAATGTACTACATCGCGACCTCAAGCCTCAAAATCTACTAATTAATAAGGTAAACGAAATCTTCACCGGCTTTGATAGCAAACTCTGGAAGTTTTTTGAGAATATGTACTTGCTGCATATTGTGCCTAAAGTCAGGCAAATTTACCATTTACCGTAATTATTTAAAGGATGGGGAGTTAAAATTGGGTGATTTTGGATTAGCTCGACCGTTTGGTATTCCTGTTCGCTGTTATTCGGCTGAGGTTAGTTACACTCCTAATAACTTCCATCTTTTAAAGATAGCATCTTCAAATGCTTTATAACAATGATTGCAAACTTTAATTGTTATCATTACTAATTCTAACATTTCCTTCTGGTTACATCTGCTTATTTTTGCGACATTAAAAGCCATGGTTTTATAACGAAAAAAAGTAATAAAAACCCTGGCTGCGTGGTGTTAGCATTAGTGCGCTGCCTTCAATATTTTTTTTATCAAGATGTTTCATTTATTCAACATTCAACAGGTTGAATTGCTCAAAAATGAATACTGTTGCTCTAGTATATCTCAACTCTAGGTTGTAACATTATGGTATCGTCCGCCAGATGTTTTAATGGGAGCGAAGATTTACACGACCTCAATAGACATGTGGTCAGCTGGATGCATTTTTGCAGGTATGCATCACAATCTTTTTTAAATTCAGAATCCTCTTGAAAAAAGGATAAATTCGAATAAAACAAATGGCCAGAGCTGTGAAATCTTACTATTACAAACATCTAAGAAATACAGTGCATTTCTTTTGGCTGTTTCACGTCAAATTTTGAGCAAGAATTAAAATCAAATTAAATTGAAAATTAAAAAAAACGGTGATCGAGGCTGGTAATCCACAATGTTGGCTTGAATATGATTTTAAAATTGTTTGTTTAGAATTGTCGAATGGCGGAAGACCTCTTTTCCCAGGGAGCGACGTTGATGACCAACTAAGAAAAATATACAAGTATCTTTATTGTTTCCCAAGCTCAAAAACAGTTAGATAAATTTAATATACAATGTGACAGACATGCAAAATAGTACCATTGCATTACAAATAGCGTTCAGCAAAACTGTAGCAACTTATACGTGTCCGCCGTAGGCGTCGTAAAGGCTCAGTCCTTCTGATTATTTAAAACGCTGTTTGCATATTTACTTGAGAAATTTGTTTGTAGTATATTTTTTTGACATACTGTACTAAAAGAATCTTAGGATCACCAAATGAAGATGCTTGGCCTGGAATGACAAAATTGCCAGAGTATAAAGTAAGCAAAGAACACTTAACAAAGGTGGCTCTTTTGGTGCCTCTTAAATTTTCTTTTCGTTGCTGGACGTAGTATGCAAATTGTTCAAGCCATGAATTTTTTCTTATAAAATATAGGATTATGGGTTCCATCTTCCAGTATCGTTATCTCACGTTGTTCCAAAACTTCCATCCATTGGCAGGGACCTACTACAGGTGTGGTATTCGTGTATTGAATTGTATCTTGGGTTCTGTGTATAATTCTCTCTAATAACACAACCTTTCTAATATGATCGCATTTTATTTTCGTCGTCTAGAAATTGCTCGTGTTCAATCCATTAATGCGTATGGCTGCAGACGTTGCAATGAATCATCAATATTTCAATGATCTTAATCCTTTAATCAAAAACTGATTATACCAGATCTGTTCTAATTTAAGTAACTCCGCTTTCAAAGAAGCAAGAAAAATATTCTGCATAATCGTGAATACATGCATAAAATCAACTTTTGTTGTACATCAACTCAACCTACTATTTACTGTAAGTTAATATAGGGAATATTGGTTAAACGTGTGCTATAATATCCCCGAACGATATCACTATGCTTTTGTAGAGAAACCATATGAACATCTTGCTCAACAATAGCTGTATAGTAAAATTAAACACTGGTAGCAAAACCAAAAATGTTGATCAATATTTAGTTCAAAAGTATAAAAACTGGAATTGATTTTGAAAGCAATGAGTATAACTAACTTGTCTACATCTATATATATAGTCTTTGAATCAACTAACTACTAAGCCATTATCCCTGTTTATACCCATGCGTAGCGTTTAATTGTTGCCGCTATATATAACAAATTGATAAATGGTATTTTCGCCAATCTAAAATGTTTTATAACTGATGGTTTCTAACGAACCCACAAATTGAATGAATACGTTGAAGGTGCAACGTTGTAGCCAAAATCATGGCGAGGTGTACTTCCACCAAACTTCGCTTGATCTTCCTCTGTTATTCCAACACCATGATCTGCTCTGTCACAAGCACTTCCTCCACCACCAATCATCATCACCGCACCATCACCATTAGACCAATCACACCAAAACCCAATGTAGTTACTACTCTGAATGTTTATAAACGTGTGCTTAGGCATTGCCTAATGAAGACAGAAGTAATATGTTTATACTTCTATATGTTCATACTTCTTATATGTTTTATTAAAGATTTTAAATGAAGACAGAAGTATATATGTTTACCTTTCCATGAGAACACCCAACAAATGCATAGTGGGATATGGTGGGATAAAATGGGATGCGACGGTGTAAAAATTTCTGTTAAGAGGCAGGAAATTAAAACGTAAGTTATAAATACAAAGAAGCAAAAACAAAGACAGAATGACAGATCAAGCACAAGGTTGTGTTTCTGGATTGGTGATACAGCAAGCGGCTGGCCTGCATGAAAGAATGAAATTCTCTAGAGATGTGAGGGCGACACTGCATAAATCATTTTAAAAAAATGAAATATAAAAACGGTTTCAAAATATTTAATTATGATCGTTATATCTTACACGATGGCGGTGATATATCTCCTTTAAAAGCCCATTTGCCATTCGAAATCTCTGTAAACTTGATGGCCAACTCCTCTCCAGTGGAGATTCCGAAGGTAAGTTTTGCAAAAGCTTTCTCAAAATCTTGAAACCTGTTAGAAATAAACACGAAGAAGATAATATGGTTCTGAAAAAGAATATCAAGAGAGTACTTAGACATGAACCCAGAAACAATCTTTGAACTAATTATTGGAGCCATAGATCATTGGGATTAGAGAGGAATTAATCTGCAATATTTATTTACTTAAACTTTGAAAAAGCATCCGTGCATGCAAGAATGGCAAACACAGTCACTCGATATTCTCTTCAAAAACAAAAACTGACAGATTACATACAAATATTGGGCAGGAACATCCCCAAATTGGGAGATATACAGAGGGTGTGTTGTTGATAAGTGGGTCGCCGATAATCACGGAACCGAGAAGAGTAAATTACTTACGACGTAAGATAGCCAGCAACGTTGAATAACTGCTGTGGCATGAGATCGGAAGAAACGTTGATATTCTTTTCGCACCTGTAAAAAAGTAAGTTCAAACATCACAGAGTTATTGTTCAGTCGACGATAGCTCTTGTTGAACTATTAAATTCCTATTTGTCCAAATTTTGTAAGACTGAGAACTGTTTTGAGCAAATAAATCATGTGAAATAATTCAACCTTCAAGTCTTCTAAACAATAAAGAGAAAAATTAGCCTACCCGCCATCCTCTGACAAACGAAGCGATCATAATGGCTGCATTACGCTGCGTCCGGTAATCCTTCTTTGCCTAAAATTACGTCAGAAATACAAAGAAAAATATTAGAATTGAAAAATATGATAAAGTTCATATGAAATGAAAAGAAATATACCTTGAATCCTCTAAATGTTTTGCTAATCAACATTTTGATGAACTACAAAGTTGTCACAGAAAATATAGAAAAATATAGATGCAGATATTTTATAAACTGTCTTCGCGAAACAGTGATATATGATGATGCAAATGCAATAATTAACTATTATATATGAAGAAGTAGCTTAAAACGTATACGTTACCTTCTTCCTGTCACGAAAACCCTTATAACGTTTTTGTATGATGACTGCAAGATCTTCCAACTTTTCTTCTCTTCTATCTTCCAGTGCAAACAACTAAAATTAGGAAAAGCATGAGAAAAAAAGTAAAGATTAAATTGCATTTGTTAAAATATACAGAGTTCAGAATTCTGATATGACAACATGTAAGATTAATTCGTGTTTAAATCGGACATGATTCTGAATCTTTATTCGCCCAGGTGTAACGAATTGCAAAATTTATTGAAATACAGCTAAACGGTCTTCCATTTGCTGATGTCAACAATTTGCTCTGCATGAATACGGTCGGTGTCTGACCAATACTGAACTTAACTCTGTTAAAAGTATAAATATTTTATACCGTTTGTGGATTTCGGATAAAAAGTTTGGTCCTTCTATAATCATATTCACTTCTTTTGATTTTCTGACACTGAAAATTAAACAACAACAATTATAAAAATGTTTGTTACTCGATTTAGAAGATTCTTTTCTAGAATGCTTCTTCTCAGGATGTTGCATACTGCCGAAGGCAAAAGAAACATAAAAAAGCACAAGTATATAGCAACAAGAAGTAGCTGGTTGATGCATTACCATGTATAGAATTGTTTCATGCAGAAACTCGTCTTAATAATTATTCTATCCACCATCTGAAGGCTAGTTTCCACTCAGGAAAATTCTCGACCATGGTCGAATACACCATTTTCCGGCGGACTCGACCATGGTCGTATACGCCGTTTTCCGGCGGACTGGTCGATTACGCCGTTTTCTCAAAACTTGGATATTTCTGACGACGCGGACTCTTCAATGTTGTGAAAAAAACAAGAGCAAAATTACCTTCAAAATCTCACCAAGTCCTTGTTTAGGATCACGATCCCACTTTGGCCATGTTTTTGGACACAAACTTTTGTATCTGGAAACAGGGAATATTTTTAAAAAAATAGTTTATTAGAGTAAGAAGCTAGTGCAAATATCATTGTACGTAATGATAAGTGAATCAACAAATGAAACCAATGACTCAGCAATATGGATTGTAGACGTAAAGTTGAGACGGTGACGACAAAGGGATGAAAAAGAGGGAAGCTTGAAACATTACGTTACAGGTTGTTTAGAATCTATATTAACTAATAAAATACCTTTCCAAAGCTATAGAGTATTCCTGTCTATAACAATAACCAGCACGGCGAACACGAACGTTCTCTAATAACCTAAAAATCCATGCGTAATTAACAACGAATGTTTTTCGCTGTTTGGGGTCTCAAAAGCTACTGAAGTATTTTAGCAGTTCGATTCACAGCGAGCAAAATTAAAATCATAATAGTTCACTGCAGGCGCGAGTGATATCATTAGGATGAATAAATGCAAACCTACCCTAAATACCGGACTTGATGCCTCACAGAATGTTCATCAAAAACTTTTTCCCTCTGCTTCATTTGGCTAAAAAAGAAAAATAGATATTCCACACTCCTTTCTTGTAAAATTCGACATGGCAGTATATTCCCATAAAAGTTATACAATACCTTAATACACCTCACATAATTGGGATTTTCACTCTTAAATTTTTCATCAACTGTGCTACGGACACCTGAATACAAGAAAGTAGTTACTAAAATAGACCAGAATGATAAAAAAGACAATAGAAGATAATGCAACACTCTCGAACGGCCCACCTTGAATTTGGTAGCAGCAGTACTGGGTCGTTTACGAGAAGGTGTCTCGGGATTTCCTGCCGATAAAAATGTAGCAATTACAAATCGAAACGACATAATCAACAAAATGGATTTTAACACTCATTTCCACTAACCCAACTAATCCCTTTATCTGATGCCCCAAGTATGCATGTGGACAAGGCGAAGGACCGAAGGTATCTTATTTACATGCAGATCAAATACATGCATCGTCCTCAAAGAAAATTACCTTCTGGAAAAAGTTGTTGCAACAAAGGATGTTCGCATTGAAACATTGCTTGTGATAAATCACGAAACAACGGATCATTGTTCTTGTCCAAGAAGCCATTGACGTTGTAAGTCACCTGAATAAAAGAAAAATACATTGAATTAGGCAGAGAAAGATAACAAAGATTGTTCCTTACGTGCATGAGCAAACGACACATTCATTGCTTTCCGTGAAAACCCTCCCGGGTGAAATGCCTTGGATTGTTTCCTCACTCAGTGATTACTGATAATAATGGGTCACCGTCATCAGAAACCCAATGGTCCGTGCAGAAAAACCGTTGTGTCAGCATTAAATATGAATAAAAAAGCAGCTCAATTGCCCGATAAAGTTACAAAACTAATTTTCCTTACATCTCCTGCATAATGTCGCAAAACAAAATGTCCTTGTCCAATCTTCAAGTTTGGTTTCCTCGGATTTGTACCGCTCTCGCTGTCATAATGTGGATGGTCCAGAAATTTCGCATTTAATTTTTCCAAAAGTGTCATATCGGAGGCCTAAACAAAATCACATCATAGTGATGATACTGTGGAACACCTGACACATAAAGTCATTTGTTTAGTTCGAGTACAGAGGCACAGGCCTACAAGGCCAAAGTTGGCAGCACTAGATATTTTATATCGAATCAATATTTTGAAACAATAACTCACAATTAATACAATTGTTATACAATATTAATCATCTTCATTTAAGTCACCAGTATAGATCAATGAAATAATCTGTACCTTTCCAGGTCGCAAACATTCTTCGTCTATCATGGCTATTATTCCAACATTGCTCTATAAGGCAAAAAAAAAAATTAAATGTGAATAGCCAACTGAAAATAAACTAAGAGTCAGTAATCTCACTTTTTCAATAAGATCACAAATCACAGAATGTTGAAATAGTCGATGTGAGTCCATTCAATGCCCTGAAGAAAAGAAACAGTCAATTCAGTGTCTACATCATGAATTGTTCTTCCGGCGTTAAAAAAGAATGCAAATGCGGCAAAGCTGATCAAAATTTTCTTACCTCTCTCACATACTCGTCTTGTTCTGATTTTAAGGTCAGTTCAATGAATATTTGTTTCAGTTTTTCGTTGCAGTAATTTATAATGAATTGTTCAAAAGTTTTTCTGAAAATTGGAATGGAAAAGATATTAATTGTTTACTAGATATGACTAGACCTTAAAGTCTAAGATCTTACTCCTTGATTATCTTAATCAATAATGAAGAGGTTACCTGAAACATTTCAAATCCATAAATGTCTAACACTCCAATTAGCAATTACTTTGGTACGAGTTCTTCTTTTTACCTAAGAGTAAAGATAAGCTGTTTGTATTCAGAGGCAACAGAGATACAGTGGATAACAGTCACGAAATACCATTCTCCCACATTCCTATCCCTTCATTCCCATCATATAATCATCGATTCTATACCTTTATACTCTGGTTGATCCTTGCTACCAACCAGGAAAATAAGCGATCGTATAAAGCTTTGCTCAGAGCATCTCTGGCATAACCAGCCTTGAAAAAATGAAAATATCATCAGCCTAATTAGCAACAGTTAACTCATATACAACTTTCTTAAAAACCTGTGTTCGACAATTGTACCTCAGACGGTGAAAAGTTGTCTTGAAGGACTCGTATTTTGTTGCCACCGTTCTTTCTGTTAACGCCTTTTGTAACACTTCTGGTTCACATCTCAGTAAATCTCCAATAATTCTCAGCACTAGAACAACATGTATATGTATGATGAACAATATTTTAACGTCTCGTATCGTTCAATTCTCGTCAGTTTGAACTCGTTGTTATATGAAAAGGTAATGCATAACGTAAATTTTTTACCCATTTTATTTGTGATAAATACACCGTCAGCCCCGTGATGAAATTGCGCTGCTTCAAACTGTACATTTCCAAGATGGAGAATTGCTGATATCAGCTGATAAATACAAAGTTTCTCTTGGTTTTTAAATCCAATTACGCCCATAGCACTCTAAAAAAATTTTAATTTTAAATCATAGTTAACCTTGGAAAACAGTGAATGGATTAGCATTTTTACAGTTCCCTTAGCTACGAGAGAAAAATGACACACTAGCTGGCAAACTTGTGATATTCAATTAGTCGCGAAAGTACTGGGGGAATTTACTATCCGTGTCTCGTGTGATACCTCAGTATAACGAAAGTCTTCAACGTCGTTAATCGTTTTCACAGAAATGCAACCACTCTCCTTCAAATATGCATATTTAGCGCAGTTTCTTTCCAGGCCCAAGGCACCTAAAATAAAGATTAAACACATATTCAACCAACTTAGAAATCGCTTGTTTTTGCTTCATCAAGTCATCACGTATTCCCTGACTTTAACAATGGGAACTGATGTGTTGTTATATAAAGTGAAATATTTTGTAAGAAGCACTTCTCCATTTTGATGTAGTTTTACTTTATTGAATATGCAATGAAATATTTCTTACGAAGAAGCTCTCCCGATCCACCATTGAGAAGCTGATAGAAAGTGTGGAAACTTCTCTCCTCGTTGGCACGATGCACAATTCGAGACTAAAACACAAGAAGTTTCAACACAAAGAAATAAGTTCTAAATACGCTGCATGTGAATATCAGATGATAATATCCGGCAATTCACAGCTATTATATGCCTTTTCCAAAAGATCTGGTTTTCCGAAAATCAACATGAAAAAGAAGACATAGTAAATGAGTCATATTAAAACACTAACATAAAGAAACTTAAGCGGGATCATTTATCCTAGTCGAAAACATTGAAATATGAATTGAAAACGCTGTTGTATAAATATTACTAAATGTCAAAGCTTAAATTTAGTTTGTTCAATGAATCTGAGGACTTTTGTGTTTTTCCTTTTCGCCCTTCGTTCAACCAGTTCATTAGAATCGAATGCATAAAGTTCAATAACTGCTTTAATTAAGAAAACACTGCACTAAGTCATATATTTAAAATGTACGATGAACATTCTGTTAACTTACAGTTTGTTATAACACCACCAACAGGTTCTCCTTTGAAGTCAAACTCTAAATCCATGTATTTCCCCTAAGACAAGCGAACATTTACAACATCACACACGTACTTCTGTTTGTGAACCAACACATGTATATGTATTACGCACCCGCTCTGCGAGTACATTTCAATTGTCAAGATGCATTGATTTCTGCGGTGCTGTATTGTATAGTGTCATTCTGTGACACAGCCGCGGTATTTAGCTATAGGCCTAACCCTAAACATTAATCACACATGCGCAAAGTACTTACAAATCTGGACGAGTTATCATTTTTCAATGTCTTGGCGTTCCCAAACGCTAAATAATATTATTCAATATCACCTTAATTAACTAGTTGATTGAAGAGAATAATACACAAATGTCGCTAACTCACCTTCCAGAATTGGATTACATTGAAGAAGTTGTTCTTTAACTTGTTCAACTTGTTTTCCCTTTCCAGAAACGCCGCAACATACTGCATGATATTTTTGAAGCTTCTACAAAGCGTTTCCCAGAAGTATTGTTATAAATGCAAACATTTTTAACCAGCAACTGAGTCTGGTCTTAAGAGTTTAGTCTAATTACTACTACTTTTACAATACATCAGGTTTACCTGTCTTCCCAGCACCACTCTCTCCAGTAATAAGAATACACTGGTCTTTATTGTGATCTCGCATTGATCTGTAAGCCAAGTCAGCAACTGCGTACCTGTAAAAATCTTCATTTAAAATCTCTTCCCGAGCAATTCCGACAGAACTACACATGCACTACTCTAAAATGGTCTTGATGGCAGTGCGAAAGATATCATTCTGGAATACTTACAGATGTGGCGCCATTTCATAAATGTTTCTTGATCTGTACTCCATTATCACTTCGTTTGTATAAAGATACAGTTTCTCGTAGGGATTCACTGACACCACAACATTTCCTATGTATGTCTGGAATAATTGCAAGAAAACAATTAATCAATATTGTAGTGTATGATAACTCTATCAGATTAACTAATTACGAACACAATATTCAGTAATTTAGCGTGGTGGTATTCTTCTACGGTTAATAAGAGATCGTAAAAGTTATACAATGTACGCATGCGTTATTTCATTTTAATATATCGTGCATATGATTTGCAGTTACAACTTGCAGTATACAGACTCTTGCAAATGAGGAAATCTCTAGTACAATATGACTGTTCTCTACAATTAGCCGCAGAAAATGTTCGAACATACATAAATTTCACCAGCTTTGAATCGTTTCTCAAGATTCTCCGTGAGTTTGTCTTCGGTAAGTGGATCAAGTAAAACCATATCACTGACCCCGGCCATGTCATCCATGATATTTCGTCCATCGTATTTTTTCTTGCTCATTCGCCTTTTCTTAGAACCCTTACCAAGACTACTCCGTCGCACCAGCTTGTGACCTGGATCCGAATCATCTGCCATCTTTGCACCTGGGAAAAGATTAAAGCCTTGATAATTATCAATAAACCATTAGGGCTGCACCGTCTGCGCGATCACGGCTCACAAGGATACTTCAAAGATCGAACATTTGATCTTGTTCAATGTTAATGCATAATAAATGTTGCGATTTCAGTTAGATTACTAATACTGTAATGGTCTGAGTTACCAGAGTTGACACAGTTTAACAAAACAGTATTTAACGTTCGCCTGTCTTCTCAAAAACCCCCGAGTCGTGCTCTAAAGCTCGAAGATCACATGATATTTCTCAATTAAATTATCACCCAGCAGAAACTAAGTTGGAAGCGGACTTACTAAAACCACAATTATTCTGAAATATAGGATTCTTTTGGTACACAATACTACCAATCACTACACGGCACAAGCAGCAACTACACACGATGCTTTAGAAGTAAACCAAAGGCAAAAGTGCTGATAATTCTTTTTCGAGTAGATCTGATTAACTTAGCAGTCTATATGTTGACGTGTAGTCTATGCAAACAATTCAATAGCAATCTTTTAAAGAACTCTTTATTAATAATGTGGGTGTATTCTTGTTCAGGGTATGTCATACTGGTCATATATAATTAAAGAATAATGATTAAAAAAGATCTTTGTGCTCTTATCAATCCGCTAGTCTTTTCTTTAACGTAACAAAAATCAACACAAGGAGTCAAGGACAGAAACAAAATCGGAAGACACAAATGACAATGAAAAGCGTCGTAATTTACACGATAACTAGAAGAATAATAGATTTTAATAGGAAACCAAACGAAACCGAGGCTGCACCGACACCAGACTTTTCTCTTTAGTCTCGAGACTATCATCATCATGACAACACCGGCAATAAAGTCTCGGCAGTGGCAGTGAGTCAGTCGCCCCAGCTATCAATAATAGCTTTTTGCTACTGTAAACAACGTAAATCATGATTTATATAAATAATTATAAATATTAATAATAATTAGCCGAGCATTTCCTGAGAAGATGCGTGCAGTTTAGCAGTTACGTAGTTAAATTATCGCAGAGTTACATTTTATTCATTTCTGGCACTCCCAACTTCTCAAACACAGAATATTTCTTTTCCATAGTTATAAAACACAAACATAAAAATTGAAGATATGCTTTCACAATTCGTTAAAAAACCACTATAAAGTCCATTTTTGGTATTCGCTAACAAACCCAATCCTTTAACAATATCCGTTTTTTTATCATAAAGATAAGTGCTAACTATGCAATTATGATGAATGCAACAATAATTTTTTTTTATTTATATTATAACCATTTACTTGGTGATTACCAGACAAAGTGGGAATATTTTTTAATTTAATTTATTAATAACCTTAAATATCATTTCGCCGACTTTTGCTAAATGCAAAATTTAAGCAATTGTGCAACACCCACTTGATAGCCATTTTCCTGACTGAGTAAAAGGAAGATTTCCAAAAATGGTCAGATTCATGTCCCAATGATGGTGCGTTATATACCACACAAGTGATCTTATTCATTTCTGAACTCACAAAAAACTGTATCAAACCAAAGAATCCTAAGAGAACTATTATTACTCCGGCGTCAGCGACGGAGTTGAAAATTCGTCCCGGTTTTGTTTTGTTTTTGTTTTTGTTTTTTTATTTTTTTTTTTTATTTTTCGTCGTCGCAAGTCTGTAATGGCGCGAAATATACTAGTATTTAACACATGTATGTGAGTATTTATCTACGTCCCAGTCTTTCTCCCAAGACTTGTGGTGCACAGCTTTGGCTAATTTTCCAATGCGCGATTCGATTTCGCTCGCATGATACGGCAATTCCTCCAAGAGGAACAAATAAACCGTTCTTTTCATGCTGTTCGATTAAGTTTAGATTGAATTGGGGTAAGAATATATTTAATACATGTAGACCCGGTCCTATTTTAATAATATCGCTGCTATTTTGCCGTTTAACAAGATGATGTGGTCGTGTATGGGCGCGTTGACACGTCGCGTAGTTTGCACAGGATCGAAGATTTAATACAACTATATAAGCGCGAATTCCAAAGGCAAAGTGTAAGACGAAGCGAATGTATCATGCGGTTTATTTACATTTTTGAACAATTGAACTTCTATACTGCGATGTTCTTCTGAATTTCGCGATCGAACATTTAGGTTCGCAAGGCATCTAAATGCGAATATGTATGCGAAACAATACGCGAACTGTATTGTTTATGTTCAGAAGCTCTATATTGAAGACTGGCACGTGCGCCGGAGTTAACGCCAGAACGGCGTCTTGTTTTAACTTAAATCGGACTCGATTACCTGGGCTGCTGTTTTTCATTGAAAAAAATCAAAGCAGACATTTCCTTAGATCTTACTTTGTACCCTTCGTAAAAATGTGAGATTCTCTTACTCCTGGACTTATCTCTCAAGCAAGGGCATATAGACCTGGAAAAAATATGTGTCCATATAAGAACTGTATGGATGCATGCATGGAGTGGTATGATATTGATAATCTTCAACTACAAACTTACCAGTTTCCAATCCTGCACTGCCCAGGAACATTCAAAGCGAAAAGTGATGAAACGTTCAACGGCAGAATGAGGTTTACAAAAGTCTTTGGCAGCTGAAGAAGGCCGAAAAACGATGTATTTTACGACTAAATATACAATATAATGCGACAACAGTTCATTTTATTCGTCAGCAAAAAATTAAACCTACTTTAATCTGCAACGTGTCCAACGTCTTGACCAGAGATTCGATGTAAATATCCGGAGTTATTTCATCCTATAATAATTATTAAAATTAACCGAAAAATTATTCTGCTTAATTTAACCGAGAGAAGAGATTCTCATTTTAAAAAAATTACCAGGTTTCCACACAGCCTACAGAGATCTCTCGAACCAGACATGATATTAACTAGCTTCCAATCGTTCTTGAAATCAATTTTCTATAGAGTACATACAAGTAAAGAGTTCTTTACAATCTGCACTTCAGAAGGATGATTAATGAATCTGTGAGCAGATATCGACTGCTGCTAAAAGTGTGTAAAGTAACCCTATTGACCTTATCCTGTTTCACTTGAGATATAAGTTGGTGTGCTTGTGCTTCCAAATTCCTGCAAAGGGAAAATGTATTTAGACACTTCTGAGGGAGACACCTCATAGGTAAAAGTGTCAAAAAATCTATTTGCAAACCTGGATGTAGCAGAAACGGTTGCCAAATTAAGTCCAGAATTTTTCTGGTAGTGTCTGGCTGTGTTCGTTGAGTATCCTCTCAATTTCGGATTAAATTTCTTTAGCAAATCTTCAAATTGAGAAAACGAACGTTTTAATACGATTCATAAACAAATTAACGAATCACATTAACTGATCTTTGTGAACAAGATCTTTACACAAGGTTTTAGATTATCAAGATAGTTTATCATTTACATACTGGGCAGCGTTAAAACGTCTTCAATACTCGCATCTCCGCCATTACTGAAAAACAGATATGACCTCATTAAGAGACGGCTCCTTCCTCCGAGTTGTATTTTTACCAACCCCCATTTCCCCCCAAATTTTGTAGTTCTCCAACATAGTTAAGTCTATCTGTTCAACATACTACTCCATAGAATCTGGTATTGATTTTATTTTTAATCCCCCTCATCCCACTTCCGCTCATCACTGCCACAACCCCCCTCTCCCCATGCACCTACCCCATCCGCGCAACAATAATCAGGCAGCTATGGCCGTCTCTGGGGCAATGAGACAAGGTTTATTTTTATAGTTTCTGTACTAAGTGTAAAGTATTGTGACTCCTGAGTTCAGATAAGCTATGCTATGCCAAGCAAGCCGGCCAAGCCTTATCTATAAAGTAAAGAGCGTCGCTGTTTTATCTCGTATTAGCATAAGGTAGGCTTTGTTGTCTGTCTCATTCAATAAATATCGTATGTTTATATAGAATTAAGTTGATGTGTGTCATCCACTTGAGATATAGTTTACGCTTTCAAGGATCGACCGTTCTCCGCGCGCAATTATTCGCACGCACATTTATAAGATACAAAATTTTCTCAATAATATTCTATGGGAAAAGTTTCAAAATTAAAGTCGTAGCAGCGACTTCATTTTTAGTGCATGGGGAACTTCGTCAAGCACGTTTTCATGAAAGAAAGCCAGAGGCAAGTCAGGCAACTATACCGCAGTGCCTCTAAACACACTGGCAACTGCCTTTGTGTCGTAGTCCCCATATTGCCTTAATTTGTTACAAGTAAATATATCTGTCCTTTTTTTTATTTTTTTTATATTTCGACGATATTTTCCCTGGCCGAGTATACAAAAACAATCAAAATTGCATGTGTCGGACAAAGACTGGCCTTTTCTAGGCAGAGTTGCAAAAAGAGTTCAACCTTCCTCCGGTAGGATTTCAAGTTTCGAAAACCTTCCTCACAACGCTGAGTCAAGTGGCAACCAGCATAAAGAAATACTCGTTTTTTTGGTACATGTATGTGATCAATGAGATTGTTAAACTTTGAACCTTCCTCACAAACCTCATTCAAAGCAAACCTTCCTCCGGGTGGTACCCGCGTACCCGCAGCTTTTTTGCAACTCTGTTTCTAGGAGATGACAAGTAAAATCGCTGAGCTGTTATCAATATTAGTTCGAATCTATTTATGCAACTGACGTCAAAAGTGCACCGCTTTCATTTATGTTTGTTTTCTTTATGCAAAATTGGCTTGTTATGTTTTTATTATGTCAGGGAACCGCGCTCGCTATAGATACTGAGGCGAACATCTGTTGCAGGAAAGTTGAAAGCAAAAAGCGAATATGATGAAGAACATTTTAACCCGTGTCGCTGCTCATTTTCTTAGCATCACATTATTATCATGTTCAGTTGAAGGTGAGCAGTCAATATTTTTTACAGAAACCCCGCAAAATTACGCAAGCGTTAATTTTAGAACTGTACTTTTAAACACATATTGTCTGACATAAAGAAGGAGAGGGGGGAGGCATTGAGGAATCCCCCGAAATATCGAGTATTTCTAAGCGGGTGTTCCAAGCGAGCCTGTCATGAATCAGAACTTAGTACACTTACCTATGCTAAAATATTGATATATTAATTTAACGGGGTTAAGATTACCAGAAGTTTTAATTTTATCCAAACGTGAAAATTTCCCTATTTTGTCGATCATATCCACGACAGTCCGTCATTTTCTTACATAAACCACAATATAAACCTGATGCTCATAAGTCACCGAAGACACCGATATAGTCGGTGATGACTATTCTCGGTGATCACTGTAATAAATTACTTTAATTGTTATTTTGAATTATTCACCGATTGTAAACAATACACATCGACGACCTTCGGTGCCGTTTGAAAACCAGTCTTCACATTCGCGCCTATATTTTGTTCGTCCAAAGATTGTGGTGAAATCGTGTGGTTTTTTTAGGGAGATGCAAGTGTGTGAACTACGACCGCGATTGGTATGTTGTCGTGTGCTCGTTCGCTAGTGGTTTAGTAATCGCCGCGCTCCTCGCGTGTTTGTTAAACTGGTATTGCAGGCGATGTGAACAAGTTAGACACGTCGCCGCAGACTCCGGGTCCAGAGAGGCACTCGAGATGCAAAATGGCGGCGATTTCAATCCTTTCTACGAGGAACTACCAGACCAGCGGTCGCGGGACGACACATCTGAAGAAACCGGAATCTCCAAGCAACAATTAGGGTACGCTGTGTTGATCAGGACGAAGGCGCGAATAACGAATTGCATTTTTAAAATTTTTGAGCGATTTGTTTTATTAATCTTAAACATGAGGTTTTAAAGATTCCAAATCCCGCATGAGTGTAACCGATGCGCAAATCAGAATGGATTAAATACCGTAGCACGTGGGGCGCAAATTGTGCGTATTTCAATATGCACAATTTGCGCCAAAAGTGCAAATTCAATATGCAACCGTCCATTTTTACTGCCCTTCTCATTAGGTCCGATTCCATGGAATCCCAAGTCAGTGTGTTTGAGTTTCATGGAGAATCCAGTAACCAAGGAGATTATCAACATCCGAGACCTGCCAACGAACCTATCTACAATAACTGTGGTGGGATAGATGGAGGTAATGATGGTGCATCAGGGTTGCAGGAGCATGGTTGGAGATCAGAGTGTGATGCGTCCACCGGGATAGGAAGCTACCAACATCCTAGACCGGAACCAACCGCATTTGAACCAGAACTTTACGAAAACCAGCAGGAAATCTCCCGCAAAGACCAGGTCAGTTCACCAGAAAACTACCAAGAACCTAAGCCTACTTACAATGGTTGTACCCAGGATAGTAGGTCACCCCTTCCATCAAGGCCCAAAGTGGCACTAACGAAACCACCCCGATATACGAAACCTCAATCAAAATCACGAGAACCTAAAGGACCACCACACTACCAGACACCTTCACTGCCACACCCTACCCACAGAACAACCGATCAAACACCAGCATCAAAATCATCGCAGCCACCTTCAGACTACAATCAACCTAAAGAATATACGAACGTTTCAAGTGAAAACGCGAAAAACTTAGGCGATTGCGAAGCTACTGAGTTCGTACCATCAATAGAAATGATTCCAACTGTGACGTCAATATCCAAAACATCATCACCTAAGATGAGCCAAAATCAGTCAAATCAACAGTTCCAAGAAATGGATATAAAGTTCCCAGAAAGCAAGAATATCCAAGGTGAACCAACTGCAGCCATCATAACCGCCCCATCTTTGTGTAGGGAAGAAATGAACCGTGTTTCAAATTATCAACTTCCGGAAATAGATTTCGAGTTCTTACAAAGTAAAGACAAGACATCATGTTCCTCGTCGTCTCCTCCCACACCACAACCGTCGGCGAATATAGCACCACCAAGTTCGTTGCCATCAGCGCTACCATCAAGAGCACCTTCTCCAGGAATACCAACAGCCAGGTCAACTGTTGTTCGCGGGTCATCACCTCCAGATTCACCATCAGAACCATTACCAGCGAAATCACCAGTGATACCACCGTGTTTACCAACTAAACCAGTTGGACCACCAATACCACCAAAGATGAAATCGATAGATTCCCAAGTTCCACCACCTCTACCATCAAAGACACCGCCACCAAACTCGCCAGAGATATCCCTCCAGTCAACAGCTTGCAGTCAACAAATTTCACTCCAAGCAACACCTCCATCTTTTCCCTCAAATACAACGCCATCACCACCGTCCTCAGGGACAACCAAACCTTCATCATCTTTGTATGCTGAATTGAATGAGCTTGATCGTCGAGATGATACCGAAGACTACCAACATTTAACCTCGATGACAAAGCAGTGATAATCACAGCGAACTGAGATCATTCTAGTTTGTTAGTTCTATCTAGGCAAGACATGATATAGGCCTTCCCAGCATTTGAACAGTGAAGAGAAATGGCAGGTGAAGGTTAAAAGAAAATATCATTTATATTTTTGCGGATGTATTACGTTCTGTCGTAAACTGTTGCTTTGCTTTTGAAATTTGTATCTGAATCGGTTATATTGACCGACAGATCATTGTAGATTTGAATCGCCAAACTCAGTATTTAGACTGGTAAATACAATTACCTCCACGATATTCCACGGAACTCTGTGAAAAAACGAGCCGTTGTTGTGGTATCTGCTCCCAGTCCGATCTGAAAGACGTGCAGTGTAATGTAGTTTAATTCAATTTTATATTCGCGAGCAACATCAATACTTTTAAAACACCAAACCGTTAGCTTATATATGCAATAGCTTACCATAAGAGAATCACCAAGCGACGCCACCACACTGATATCTTCCGGGGCCAGCGTGTGAACTAAAAAAGTCGATCCAAAATAGTAACCTTTGGAAGATACAGTTCAGAACTGATAGGGCTGTACAACACCGCAATTACTAGTATTTTTAAAGTTAGTTTAGTTTAGGTTTCCTCCTGTAGTAACACTGGATGGATAAGAGATGATCCTTCCTGGATCTCTAGGAAGAACAGTTTAGAACTGATAGAGCTATCCAGTATAAATAAAGTTAGTTTAGTTTAGGTTTCCTCCTGTAGTAACACTGGATCAATAAGATAAGATCCTTCCTGGACCTCTAGGAAGAACAGTTTAGAACTGATAGAGCTATCCAGTATAAATAAAGTTAGTTAGTTTAGGTTTCCTCCTGTAGTAACACTGGATCAATATGAGATGATCCTTACTGGACCTCTAGGAAGAACAGTTTAGAACTGATAGAGCTATCCAGTATAAATAAAGTTAGTTTAGGTTTCCTCCTGTAGTAACACTGGATCAATAAGAGATGATCTTTACTGGACCTCTAGGAAGAACAGTTTAGAACTGATAGAGCTATCCAGTATAAATAAAGTTAGTTAGTTTAGGTTTCCTCCTGTAGTAACACTGGATGAATATGAGATGATCCTTACTGGATCTCTAGGAAGAACAGTTTAGAACTGATTGAGCTATCCAGTGTAAAAAAGTTAGTTTAGTTTAGGTTTCCTCCTGTAGTAACACTGGATCAATATGAGATGATCCTTACTGGACCTCTAGGAAGAACAGTTTAGAACTGATTGAGCTATCCAGTGTAAATAAAGTTAGTTTAGTTTAGGTTTCCTCCTGTAGTAACACTGGATCAATAAGAGATGATCCTTACTGGATCTCTAGGAAGACGATTTTACGACTTTGAGAAGTCTTAAATTTACCAGATTTTGGAACAATTCCAGATTTCTTTACTTCGCAATTGAATTCCGGTTTTTCGACCTGTTGGTATAAAAATTCCTCATTTTTTTGTTTTGCTGAAAATATTTGCGACGGGAATAAAGATCAATTTGACGCTTATAAGTTTACAAACTTACATAATAATCTGTATTATTTGATTGAATATTCTCTATTAAATTTTTCCTGATAAATGTGGATGAAATGATATGTTCCAAGGTTGTTGGTGGAGGTAAACTTCGGATCAATTCTTCATTGTCCGCTAAATGAAATAATAGTTCGACGTGAAAAATGATGGTTGTGGACTTGTGGTTGCATGGGTACTGTACGTTAGTTGTTTAGTAATCCTACCGGAAAACAGTTCTTAAGAAACGCATTTCTACGCAAGGTGTGACAGCATTGTTATCGTTTTATTTATTTCTTTTTATATCGTTTACTTCAAGTTGTCAATCCTAATTACGCCATGCAGTATCATACCGAAGCACATAGCATATTCGACTAATGACTGCCAAAACAAAAGATTATGTTACGCTACGCCTACGAGGCGTTGAAAGTACAAAGCGCTTTCAATTTTATTCAAATTACTCAATAAACTCCACAAATTCGCTTGCAAAAACCAACACGTGCATCGCCGATCTTTGGGTCAAAGCTATGGCCAAAGACGAAAATAGACTATACATAATTTGGCAAACATTTGTTTTGAATAAACAGCATAATATGGCTGATTCTGGTGTGTTTTATATAGATTTTGTACGGCAAAAGCCACCACACGAGGTATGTAAATGTAAAATTCGTATTTCATGGCCGAAATGTTGTTTTAAAACTATAACTTCATCAGAACTTGAGAAGTCAAATGGTGGCCTTACAACAAAGCTAGAACTATAGCGCTTCCTTTCGAGGGTTCTCGTTGGAAACATCAGCTTTTCTGTTATAACTTTAGAGTCAGACTGCCATAGTTTATATAAATAATGGATAAGGCAACGGGAGGATGTTGAAATTGTGGCCTCAGGGTGAATTGAGGGGTAATGGATATACTTCAATGTCTAGAACAGCTATAAGATAGTCTTCACTTGGCTGAAAAACTGGTATTATAAACCTAGTTTAACCATGGTTTTACTGTGGCAATTACAACATTAAAAATGAAAACATGTGGTAAATTGTACTTATAATAATGTACTCAAAGTGGCTGAGATTGATGATATTTGCTTGCATTATTACTAGCAGCTATAGTAATTAATGAAGTCAAATCTTGCTAATGTCAGCAGCAAATTCCAATCATACCTACCCAGAATATCAACAGTCTTTCTCATTTCTCCATAAACACAGACATAGGTCCCAAATAGTTCAACACTTTCAACTTCAAGAGATATCGCTGTGCGCTGCTGGTCATCAGTCCAAAATCTCAGCCCAGTTAAAACATAATGTTCTGGATAGATTTTCTCAAACCTAATCAAATGGTTCCTCAATGCAAAATGTTCTTCTGTTTCAGGTAATGGTGGGTCAACCTTACAGAGCAAACGAAGATTGTTTGCACCTTGTTTGACGACAAGTTTGTCAGTCTTTTTGTCCTGATAGCTGGTACCATCTTTCTCCCAATGGTACGAGATCTCAATTCGTTTTGGTTTAATTGGTGGATAACGAGCATCTAAATTATTCGAACATGATCAAGTAAGCTAGTTTATGATTATTAACAGTGCAACATCAACTTGATGAAGAAATTAATTTAAAATGCCATGCTTCAAATGCATTCAGTGTACTAGAAATTCTAGTACATCCATGCATTCAAATTAGAAATATTTTGACTTATTAATTGCTAGTCAAATTATTTTTATTGAATAAATGCCATTGAATTGTGACCATTTTGGCCATCATAGTTTGGCCAGAATCAAAATAAAGCAGCATATTGGTAGCTTATAAAAATATATCTTCTCTTGAAATATGCTTCAGGAGTTGCTATAGACCATGGCCCTTACCAAATTCATACTTTCAGCCAATCTCCAATAAGTGAGATGATTACAGACAAAGTATGTGGCCTCGCAAACCAGCTAAACTGTAGTACCTCATTTCCAAAGGCATGCTTTCACTACACACATTTGGTCAGGTGAATCCTAAACACACTGGGGCAAGGTATCGCCTGATTGCTCTGATATTTACTATTTAGAGACTAGAGTGACCTGTTCATATAGACCACAGATGAGGCTTAATGAAATCTTTTTACATTACAAAAGTGAAATTAACAGCTTGATTCATAATTCTAGGCTAGGCCTAGACTTCAACTGTAAACACGATAAAGTAAAAATTCGTCCTGATTCATTCAAAATAACTTGCGATCATTTCTTGACACTCACGATCGAGTACGTAACAACTTTTTGAGTAGTGTTTGTGATTGTACATTTAATTGTTTCATAAATCGCCTATAATCGATAAACCTACAGGCAAAATATTCACGACGCTTAAAATTTCATCAGTCAAACAAGCCATACGCACCTGCGTTTGAATTGAAAATAAGAATATTGAAGAGAAATATGGTATCGAGAATCCCCCTAGCAACAGACGCCATGTTTTATTTACATTTTTTTCTAAATTAGAATGTTCCTAATTACTCCGGCGTCAGCGACGGAGTTGAAAATTCGCGCCCGGTTTTTGTTTTGTTTTTTTTTTTTTTTTTTTTTTTTATTTTTCGTCGTCGCAAGTCTGTAATGGCGCGAAATATACTAGTATTTAAAATGTGTATGTGATTGGATTTATCTACGTCCCAGTCTTATCTCCCAAGACTTGTGGTGCACAGCTTTGGCTAATTTTCCAATGCGCGATTCGATTTCGCTCGCATGATACGGCAATTCCTCCAAGAGGAACAAATAGACCGTTCTTTTCATGCTGTTCGATTAAGTTTAGATTGAATTGGGATAAGAATATATTTAATACATGTAGACCCGGTCCTATTTTAATAATATCGCTGCTATTTCGCCGTTTAACAAGATGATGTGGTCGTGTATGGGCGCGTTGACACGTCGCGTAGTTTGCACAGGATCGAAGATTTAATACAACTATATAAGCGCGAATTCCAAAGGCAAACTGTAAGACGAAGCGAATGTATCATGCGGTTTATTTACATTTTTGAACAATTGAACTTCTATACTGCGATGTGCTTCTGAATTTCGCGATCGAACATTTAGGTTCGTAAGGCATCTAAATGCGAATATGTATGCGAAACAATACGCGAACTGTATTGTTTATGTCCAGAAGCTCTATATTAAAGACTGGCACGTGCGCCGGAGTTAACGCCAGAACGGCGTCTTGTTATTATTTCAATTACAAGTGCCTGGAAGTTCTCATTAACTGATGATGATGAGATACCTGCATGTGTGGGGATAATCCTATTGGGGGTGTGAACAGTGCTCAAACACCACAACGAATTGCAGAGGAAAGGAATTCTTTAAAATAGAATTAGGATACAGTATTGCAAAGGATTTGCATAAAACAACATTGGGTCAGGACTAGGAATTATTTAAAGTGCCTTTAGGGGCCAGAGAGAGTACTCTCTTTCTCAGAGTGAAACTATTATGAATGAACTAAGTGCATGAAAGACAATCACTTCTTTTTGTAACTAATAAGACTATAGTTAAGAATAAGAATAGTTTTTGAGAGGTCTTTAAAGGTTATTAAAAACTGTGGGAAAAAGGTTTGCACTCCAGACTAGGATCAGACTAAATAAGAAAATAGATGACATGCAATGACTATGTTTCATTAATCAGGAGGTACATTTTAAATTGTGATGGTTTGAATCTTACTAAAATCATTATGCTTTACAATATAGATTTTTATAGATCAGTATGGATCTCATATAAAATTAATCTCATACAAATTTGTTAAAAAATATATTTAATTCTAGGTTTTTGGAACTGCAATCCCAGGATTGCAATTCTAAATCTTAAGTTCGAGATCCACTTGACATGTAGAGTGGTGCTTAATTAGGGCCTATATTGAATGGTCGCTATATGTACTTTCAACTATCATGCTGACAATAATTACAAGAATGGGTAAGTATCTGAACTTTAATAATTAGCACTGTAATTAATACAACTGCAATTGAATCATAGAGCATTGATGCACAAACATATTGTACTCTTTCTATAATGTCAAATTAATCTACACACATGTACATGCACACAAGTACCTAATAGCAGGTAAACTAAGTCTGACATTGTTATGAATATGCTCAAACCTTACATTAAGAAATTAAGTGGCCATTCTGCACCTGAAGAATCTAAATGCAACAACCATTGTCTGCATTCTCAGAATTCTTCCTATACTCTTAGTGTGCATTCAAGGACACAGTTATACATTTTTGTTGACAACTATAATGTGTACATTCTATGACAATCATACACGTGTATATATTTACAACATTACATTGTGAAACTACCCTAAAAACGAAATTTAGCCACGTTATAATTTGTTGCAACATTCGAATTGGTAAACTTTAAAATAACAAAAGCCGTGTATTGTACGATCTCGTACACAATTTAAGCATTCCATTCGTAATTGTCAAGTTAAGACCCAATTAATTACTAATATTAAATGAAAACCATACACGAAATGCCAGGTAAAATTGCCGAAAATTCAACTAGTAAAATGGGAACGCTTTCGTTGCCCAGCAAGTGACACTCAAAACACTAAAAAACCGTGGCAAATTTGATGCAATATTGAATCTGATAATACCCTACAGATCAGAACTAAAATTTATTGACTGAATAAACACTCGTCTATGAATTTCTAATTTTATTTCCAACTTATACAACGCACAGTTTTACTCATAAAATGTTCTTTCATAAAATGTTCTCAGTGGCAAAATGTCACAATTATCAAGAATAAAATGAAACCGTATATCCATATTAGAAACCTGTGTTGAAATATAGCGGTCGTCAAATTACAAGTGCTTACCTTATTTATGATGCCAGCTCATATATATTCAGTTCCCGTGTTTCCTTCAGTAAATCTTCACCACAAAATCACTGTGTTTACTATACACAGATAAATGTTTTCCTAACGGTTCTCCATTGACACTAGAATACGCTAGAAGTGCTTTATGCGTGTCGGAAACACACACTCCAAAGCAATGCCAAATGTATTTTTTCCGAGTAACTGAATATTTTATTCGGTCTGCTGGAAGCCGCGGGTAAACGCCCGCGCATGGCATGTACTCCGCCAAAGAACGTAATCGAAAAATCCAGAAAAGTCCCATAATTTTTTGGCATTTTCTCACTTAACACGGCAACTTTTACTAAGTAGAATTGGAATTTGCCACGCAGTTTACAATAATAAAGATTGTAATTCAAAACCACTTTTCTTCAACTTTAATTTTTCAGTCGAAAACTGACCTGTTGGTCCTGTTCGCAGGTCTGAAGGACAGAAGGAGGTCAGTCGTATCTAGGGAAGGGAAGGTCAAATAATGTTTACATCACTGGTTTATTTATACTGTATTAAATAATACGTTTATTTAACGAACGAAATATTGATCAGTTCATTCCTATCGCAGTATCAACATCGTTGAATACCTTTTATTATACCGGATGACAGTATTATGAATGAAAATAATAAACACAGAGGATAAAGTTAATACGAAGTGATAACAACTGCTTTTATTTATTTCGTGATTATCGGTATTCACTGTGATGCAGAAATATGAAAAACTTGAAAAAATCGGGGAAGGTATTTGTTTATAATATTCATTCGTCCTCGAGTTATAAATGTACTTTGCACCTTGTATATGCTTCGAGTACTTCATGTTAATGTTTTAACTTTATCTTAGGAATTGTAAACATAAGAAATTGTAGATGAATCAGGCTCGTTTACTTTTTACCCAGTGTATAAGCATGGCAATGATGACAAAGTATTGAAGCCCGGTCTTATTTAATAGCATAAACAGGGCTTTAGAAATATCTAAATATCTTTTTAATACAAGTAATTAACTGGTAATGTCAGTTGGAGGCCTGTGCTTACTTGGACAATATCATATCTGGAGTATTCGCTCACTTGTGATGTTAAAAATTTGCCACAATTAGATGTACCCTGGCAGCAGCTCATCCAATTTTAGCAAAATTTTCAAACATCACTCAATAATCTCTGAAATAGGTACATATGGAACTGTGTTTAAAGCCAAGAATAAAGAAACTCATGAGATTGTAGCACTAAAAAGAGTTCGTTTGGATGATGATGATGATGAGGTGAATTAAGGCCAAATCCAAATATATTACTGATTAACTGGTATTACTGTATTAATAATAGGTTGTCTGACATGAAACTAAACAAGGTGCTCAGAGTAACAATGCTGGATCCTAATATATGGTATATCCAGAGCAATAGGCATTTGACTGCTTCATTCTATTTTGTCTCCTACCATGCCCTCTTTCCTTTATATTTGATATTGGAATGAAGTAGACCTAGCCTAGGCTGGACAAAGTTGCCAAATGTTAGTGGACTAATATATTTGGTAGTCTATCTTATCCAATCAATTGTACATCAGGGTGTACCCAGCTCGGCATTACGAGAGATCTGTCTACTGAAAGAATTAAAACACAAGAACATTGTCAGGCAAGTTAATGTGATAATTTGTGTCTCAATACTGAGAAGCACATTTTTACCAAATACAACCTATACAAGTAAATCATACTTGTTGGCCATATAAAATATATTTTGTTTGTGTTTTTGTTTCAGATTAAATTATATGATATTATGATAAGTGAGAAAAAACTTACTTTGGTTTTTGAGTACTGTGACCAGCTAGGTGACTTCCTCTGCCGAAATTTCTATACATTAGATTTAGTTCATTTATACACTTGTGCTGGGTTGTAGAAGACCCTGTCTGGTTAACAAAAATCACAGGATACATTATACATACAAGGAGGTTTTAAATGTTTATCAGTTAAGCTGCATTATTTAAAAAGTCTACTTTAAACTTTACCATATTATTTTGTTGCCTTATAAGAGCTATCATTGTCATACTTTTTTATTAAAATTTTTATACAGGATTTGAAAAAATACTTTGATAGCTGTCAAGGGGAAGTTGATGCTAATATTGTAAAGGTAACATGATGTTTGTTCTTTTCTTATGATCTTTTGAAACTTGTGTTTTGAGATTTCATAACCTGGATATATGCCAGACTCTTGATTTGGTTGGTGTTGACGTATCCCAGGACCACCTGAAGACGAGAATTCTCCCAAGATTTTTCTTATTAACCTCATCATTTCTATGGATCAATTTGCAGTAACAATTACCCTAGATCAATTTTAACTTCACCAGTCGAAGGAAAATCGTTGACGTTGTTAGTCAGTCATTTTCAGACCAGACCGACGAAGTCTCGGATGATTTTTCTTTACCATTGGGCGGTGTCGGCGGTTTTTAGTAGGACCCATCTCGACAGACTTTGTGTTGAACTCCAGTTTATTTTAGAAAATATTTTAAAATTATTTAGTCTTTCATGTATCAGTTATTACGAGGACTGGCATTTTGTCATGCGAATAATGTACTACATCGCGACCTCAAGCCTCAAAATCTACTAATTAATAAGGTAAACGAAATCTTCACCGGCTTTGATAGCAAACTCTGGAAGTTTTTTGAGAATATGTACTTGCTGCATATTGTGCCTAAAGTCAGGCAAATTTACCATTTACCGTAATTATTTAAAGGATGGGGAGTTAAAATTGGGTGATTTTGGATTAGCTCGACCGTTTGGTATTCCCGTTCGCTGTTATTCTGCTGAGGTTAGTTACACTCCTAATAAATTCCATCTTTTAAAGATAGCATCTTCAAATGCATTATAACAATGATTGCAAGCTTTAATTGTTATCATTACTAATTCTAACATTTTCTTCTGGTTACATCTGCTTATTTCTGCGACATTAAAAGCCATGGTTTTATAACGAAAAAAAGTAATAAAAACCCTGGATGCGTGGTGTTAGCATTAGTGTGCTGCCTTCCCCATATATTTTTTTTATCAAAATGTTTCATTTATTCAACATTCAACAGGTTGAATTGCCCAAAATTGAATACTGTTGCTTAGTATATCTCAACTCTAGGTTGTAACATTATGGTATCGTCCGCCAGATGTTTTAATGGGAGCGAAGATTTACACGACCTCAATAGACATGTGGTCAGCTGGATGCATTTTTGCAGGTAATCACAATCTTTTTTGAATTCAGAATCCTCTTGAAAAAAGGATAAATTCAAATAAAACAAATGGCCAGAGCTGTGAAATCTTACTATTACAAACATCTAAGAAATACAGTACGTTTCTTTTGGCTGTTTCACGTCAAATTTTAAGAAAGAATTAAAATAAAATTAAATTGAAAATTAAAATAAACGGTGATCAATGCTGGTAATCCACAATAATGGCATTAATATTATTCTAAAATTGTTTATTTAGAATTGTCGAATGGCGGAAGACCTCTTTTCCCAGGGAGCGACGTTGATGACCAACTAAGAAAAATATACAAGTATCTTTATTGTTTTCCAAGCTCGAAAACAGTTAGATAAATTTATTATACAATGTGACAGACATGCAAAATAGTACCATTGCATTACAGCTAGCGTTCAACAAAGCTGTAGCAACTTATACGTGTCCGCCGTAGGCGTCGTAAAGGCTCAGTCTTTCTGATTATTTAAAACGCTGTTTGCATATTTACTTGAGAAATTTGTTTGTAGCATATATTTTTTTGACATACTGTACTATAAGAATCTTAGGATCACCAAATGAAGAGGCTTGGCCTGGAATGACAAAATTGCCAGAGTATAAAGTAAGTAAAGAACACTTCACAAAGGTGGCTCTTTTGGTGCCTCTTAAATTTTCTTTTCGTTGCTGGACGTATTATGCAAATTGTTCAAGCCATGAATTTTTTCTTATAAAATATAGGATTATGGGTTCCATCTTCCAGTATCGTTATCTCACGTTGTTCCAAAACTTCCATCCATTGGCAGGGACCTACTACAGGTGTGGTATTCTCGTGTATTGAATTGTATCTTGGGTTCTGTGTATAATTCTCTCTAATAACACAACCTTTCTAATATGATCGCATTTTATTTTCGTCGTCTAGAAATTGCTCGTGTTCAATCCATTAATGCGTATGGCTGCAGACGTTGCAATGAATCATCAATATTTCAATGATCTTAATCCTTTAATCAAAAACTGATTATACCAGATCTGTTCTAATTTAAGTAACTCCGCTTTCAAAGAAGCAAGAAAAATATTCTGCATAATCGTGAATACATGCATAAAATCAACTTTTGTTGTACATCAACTCAACCTACTATTTACTGTAAGTTAATATAGGGAATATTGGTTAAACGTGTGCTATAATATCCCCGAACGATATCACTATGCTTTTGTAGAGAAACCATATGAACATCTTGCTCAACAATAGCTGTATAGTAATAATTAAACACTGGTAGCAAAACCAAAAATGTTGATCAATATTTAGTTCAAAAGTATAAAAACTGGAATTGATTTTGAAAGCAATGAGTATAACTAACTTGTCTACATCTATATATAGTCTTTGAATCAACTAACTTACTAAGCCATTATCCCTGTTTATACCCATGCGTAGCGTTTAATTGTTGCCGCTATATATAACAAATTGATATATGGTATTTTCGCCAATCTAAAATGTTTTATAACTGATGGTTTCTAACGAACCCACAAATTGAATGAATACGTTGAAGGTGCAACGTTGTAGCCAAAATCATGGCGAGGTGTACTTCCACCAAACTTCGCTTGATCTTCCTCTGTTATTCCAACACCATGATCTGCTCTGTCACAAGCACTTCCTCCACCACCAATCATCATCACCGCACCATCACCATTAGACCAATCACACCAAAACCCAATGTAGTTACTACTCTGAATGTTTATAAACGTGTGCTTAGGCATTGCCTAATGAAGACAGAAGTATATATGTTTATACTTCTATATGTTCATACTTCTTATATTTTTATTAAAGATTTTAAATGAAGACAGAAGTATATATGTTTACCTTTCCATGAGAACACCCAACAAATGCATAGTGGGATATGGTGGGATAAAATGGGATGCGACGGTGTAAAAATTTCTGTTAAGAGGCAGGAAATTAAAACGTAAGTTATAAATACAAAGAAGCAAAAAACAAAGACAGAATGACAGATCAAGCACAAGGTTGTGTTTCTGGATTGGTGATACAGCAAGCGGCTGGCCTGCATGAAAGAATGAAATTCTCTAGAGATGTGAGGGCGACACTGCATAAATCATTTTAAAAAAATGAAATATAAAAACGGTTTCAAAATATTTAATTATGATCGTTATATCTTACACGATGGCGGTGATATATCTCCTTTAAAAGCCCATTTGCCATTCGAAATCTCTGTAAACTTGATGGCCAACTCCTCTCCAGTGGAGATTCCGAAGGTAAGTTTTGCAAAAGCTTTCTCAAAAATCTTGAAACCTGTTAGAAATAAACACGAAGAAGATAATATGGTTCTGAAAAAGAATATCAAGAGAGTACTTAGACATGAACCCAGAAACAATCTTTGAACTAATTATTGGAGCCATAGATCATTGGGATTAGAGAGGAATTAATCTGCAATATTTATTTACTTAAACTTTGAAAAAGCATCCGTGCATGCAAGAATGGCAAACACAGTCACTCGATATTCTCTTCAAAAACAAAAACTGACAGATTACATACAAATATTGGGCAGGAACATCCCCAAATTGGGAGATATACAGAGGGTGTGTTGTTGATAAGTGGGTCGCCGATAATCACGGAACCGAGAAGAGTAAATTACTTACGACGTAAGATAGCCAGCAACGTTGAATAACTGCTGTGGCATGAGATCGGAAGAAACGTTGATATTCTTTTCGCACCTGTAAAAAAGTAAGTTCAAACATCACAGAGTTATTGTTCAGTCGACGATAGCTCTTGTTGAACTATTAAATTCCTATTTGTCCAAATTTTGTAAGACTGAGAACTGTTTTGAGCAAATAAATCATGTGAAATAATTCAACCTTCAAGTCTTCTAAACAATAAAGAGAAAAATTAGCCTACCCGCCATCCTCTGACAAACGAAGCGATCATAATGGCTGCATTACGCGCGTCCGGTAATCCTTCTTTGCCTAAAATTACGTCAGAAATACAAAGAAAAATATTAGAATTGAAAAATATGATAAAGTTCATATGAAATGAAAAGAAATATACCTTGAATCCTCTAAATGTTTTGCTAATCAACATTTTGATGAACTACAAAGTTGTCACAGAAAATATAGAAAAAATATAGATGCAGATATTTTATAAACTGTCTTCGCGAAAACAGTGATATATGATGATGCAAATGCAATAATTAACTTTTATATATGAAGAAGTAGCTTAAAACGTATACGTTACCTCTTCCTGTCACGAAAACCCTTATAACGTTTTTGTATGATGACTGCAAGATCTTCCAACTTTTCTTCTCTTCTATCTTCCAGTGCAAACAACTAAAATTAGGAAAAGCATGAGAAAAAAAGTAAAGATTAAATTGCATTTGTTAAAATATACAGAGTTCAGAATTCTGATATGACAACATGTAAGATTAATTCGTGTTTAAATCGGACATGATTCTGAATCTTTATTCGCCCAGGTGTAACGAATTGCAAAATTTATTGAAATACAGCTAAACGGTCTTCCATTTGCTGATGTCAACAATTTGCTCTGCATGAATACGGTCGGTGTCTGACCAATACTGAACTTAACTCTGTTAAAAGTATAAATATTTTATACCGTTTGTGGATTTCGGATAAAAAGTTTGGTCCTTCTATAATCATATTCACTTCTTTTGATTTTCTGACACTGAAAATTAAACAACAACAATTATAAAAATGTTTGTTACTCGATTTAGAAGATTCTTTTCTAGAATGCTTCTTCTCAGGATGTTGCATACTGCCGAAGGCAAAAGAAACATAAAAAAGCACAAGTATATAGCAACAAGAAGTAGCTGGTTGATGCATTACCATACATAGAATTGTTTCATGCAGAAACTCGTCTTAATAATTATTCTATCCACCATCTGAAGGCTAGTTTCCACTCAGGAAAATTCTCGACCATGGTCGAATACACCATTTTCCGGCGGACTCGACCGTGGTAGAATACGCCGTTTTCCGGCGGACTGGTCGATTACGCCGTTTTCTCAAAACTTGGATATTTCTGACGACGCGGACTCTTCATTGTTGTGATAAAAACAAGAGCAAAATTACCTTCAAAATCTCACCAAGTCCTTGTTTAGGATCACGATCCCACTTCGGCCATGTTTTTGGACACAAACTTTTGTATCTGGAAATAGGAAATATTTTTAAAAAATAGTTTATTAGAGTAAGAAGCTAGTGCAAATATCATTGCACGTAATGATAAGTGAATCGACAAATGAAACCAATGACTCAGCAATATGGGTTGTAGACGTACAGTGGAGACGGTGACGACAAAGGGATGAAAAAGGGGGGAGCTTGAAACATTACGTTACAGGTTGTTTAGAATCTATATATTACGTGGTAAAATACCTTTCCAAAGCTATAGAGTATTCCTGTCTATAACAATAACCAGCACGGCGAACACGAACGTTCTCCAATAACCTAAAAATCCATGCGTAATTAACAACGAATGTTTTTCGCTGTTTGGGGTCTCAAAAGCTACTGAAGTATTTTAACAGTTCGATTCACAGCGAGCAAAATTAAAATCATAATAGTTCACTGCAGGCGCGGTGATATCATTAGGATGAATAAATGCAAACCTACCCTAAATACCGGACTTGATGCCTCACAGAATGTTCATCAAAAACTTTTTCCCTCTTTGCTTCATTTGGCTAAAAAAGAAAAATAGATATTCCACAATCCTTTCTTGTAAAATTCGACATGACAGTATATTCCCATAAAAGTTATACAATACCTTAATACACCTCACATAATTGGGATTTTTCACTCTTAAATTTTTCATCAACTGTGCTACGGACACCTGAATACAAGAAAGTAGTTAATAAAATAGACCAGAACGATAAAAAAGACAATAGAAGATAATGCAACACTCTCGAGCGGCCCACCTTGAATTTGGTAGCAGCAGTACTGGGTCGTTTACGAGAAGGTGTCTCGGGATTTCCTGCCGATAAAAATGTAGCAATTACAAATCGAAACGACATATCAATGATGATTTTAACACTCATTTCTACTAACCCAACTAATCCCTTTACCTAATGCCCCGGGTATGCATGTGGACAAGGCGAAGGACCGAAGGTGCTTATTTACATGCAGATCAAATACATGCATCGTCCTCAAAGAAAATTACCTTCTGGAAAAAGTTGTTGCAACAAAGGATGTTCGCATTGAAACATTGCTTGTGATAAATCACGAAACAACGGATCATTGTTCTTGTCCAAGAAGCCATTGACGTTGTAAGTCACCTGAATAAAAGAAAAATACATTGACTTAGGCAGAGAAAGATAACAAAGATTGTTCCTTACGTGCATGAGCAAACGACACATTCCATTGTTTCCGTGAAAACCCTCCCGGGTGAAATGCCTTGGAATTGTTTCCTCACTCAGTGATTACTGATAATAATGGGTCACCGTCATCAGAAACCCAATGGTCCGTGCAGAAAAACCGTTGTGTCAGCATTAAATATGAATAAAAAAGCAGCTCCACCGCCCGATAAAGTTACAAAACTAATTTTCTTACATCTCCTGCATAATGTCGCAAAACAAAATGTCCTTGTCCAATCTTCAAGTTTGGTTTCCTCGGATTTGTACCGCTCTCGCTGTCATAATGTGGATGGTCCAGAAATTTCGCATTTAATTTTTCCAAAAGCGTCATATCGGAGGCCTAAACAAAATCACATCATAGTGATGATACTGTGAACACCTGACTCAAATCATTTGTTTAGTTCGAGTACAGAGGCCACAGGCCTACAAAGGCCAAAGTTGCAGCACTTGATATTTTATATCGAATCAATATTTTGAAACAATAACTCACAATTATATACAATTGTTATACAATATTAATCATCTTCATTTAAGTCACCAGTATAGATCAATGAAATAATCTGTACCTTTCCAGGTCGCAACATTCTTCGTCTATCATGGCTATTATTCCAACATTGCTCTATAAGGCAGAAAAAAAAATTAAATGTGAATAGCCAACTGAAAATAAACTAAGAGTCAGTAATCTTACTTTTTCAATAAGATCACAAATCACAGAATGTTGAAATAGTCGATGTGAGTCCATTCAACCCTGAAGAAAAGAAACAGTCAATTCAGTGTCTACATCATGAATTGTTCTTCCGGCGTTAAAAAAGAATGCAAATGCGCAAAGCTGATCAAAATTTTCTTACCTCTCTCACATACTCGTCTTGTTCTGATTTTAAGGTCAGTTCAATGAATATTTGTTGCAGTTTTTCGTTGCAGTAATTTATAATGAAAAAAAGTTTTTCTGAAAATTGGAATGGAAAAGATATTAATTGTTTACTAGATATGACTAGACCTTAAAGTTAATCT